CCGTCCACACTTCCTTGAGATAGTACGAGCCCAGTAGTTCGCCAATGGACGTCTCCACCTGACCGCGGCACATCATGGCCCGCGACGGGGGTTCTTTGAGGCCATTTTTAATCTTGTCATAGAAGTTCGAGTGTGCTTTCACAAACGGTGTTGACAGGAACGGCGCGTTGAAGTCGAGCACTTTGTACTCGATGATCGTCTTGAGGCTGTCGACGGTCAAGACGCGGAGAAGCCCTTCTATGTCGTCCAAATAACGGAAGTTCCTCACAACGACCGTGGTCGTGTTGGACCTTTCGCGGACGTCGAACCCGAACCCTTGCAATTGGAGACCTACCCCCAATGGATACGACGCGTTGGCGGCGCTGAGCGACAACTGGATGTTGTCGGACGTCACGGCCGATTGGAGCCTGCGATTGGACAGATCTACCCCGGCACTGGTGCGTAAAAAGAAAATCACGACGTCGGTGGCCGCCTCCGCCTCCGCCTTCGCGTGACCGGCCAGCCTGAAGATCTTGGCAAGGTATTTGCGGTACGGCTTTTCAATCAAGGACCACACTGGTTCGTAGAAATCATTTTGGTCCAACGGTAATCCCACAGGTTTGGCACTCAAGACGTTGCGGGTAGTTTCGATGGCGTCGGGTGAGACCGACAGCTTCACGAACATCGGTACGCCGGTGGCCTTGGAGATGGTTGCGCCGCGAAAGATGGCTTCGACGGTCGAGTTGGCGCTGCGGATGGCCTTCAGGTGAACTTCGATGGGAGCCAAGCCCAAGGTGTCTAAAGTGGCAGTGTCCATACACGCGTCATAGAACTCGGCGAGTTTAGGCAGCTTGGCGTTCAACAACTTTTCAATCACCTTGTCCGCCGCAGCCTCAAGCACAGTGGGCACATTGATAGTACTTGATCATGGCTGGCATATTGAAGAATGACCAAGCGACCAAACAAGCTCGCGAATGATGGGGCTATCCATAGCAATTTGGAATACCCATGATAGAATTCATGCGCTTTTTAATGGCCCTTTCTACTAACGTAGGGCACCGGTCATCGGCATTTTTCGACCTTTTTTTGTTCGTCGATTTCTCGGTGACGACAACGCATATTGAGATGGCCCATACATCAAAACAACAGAAAGAGTATGCTCATTCATTGATATTCAAAGAATATCGATTTAAATAGGGAGCACAAGCGGTATGAATTTTCAAAGTAAGCCTTGCTGCATAGGGCACCGGTCATCGGCACACATTTAGACTTACGTAATATATTGAATTTCCCCAACTGCTGGCGTGTGGAATTCTGTGAAAATATCATATTTCAAAGTATTATGTGCTTAGGAGAGGTATGAACTATTACAGTTTCTTTGTGTGCTACCACAAACGAAAAAGTCGTACGTTCAGACCCTTGGCCAATTCATTGACCGGTACTGCAATTTTTGCTTCAGGTCAATTGGACATCATCGGAGTACGGAACATTATTATGGGCCCACCATTAGATGTACTTTTGAGGTTAGGTATTTGCATCAGTTGATGTAGTCATGTCTTTGACACGCTATAAGGACGATAATTCTCCTTGGTGATGACGCCACACTCAGAATCCACTTTTATACTACTACTATAATACGAAGCAATTGCTTGGATGTATATTTCTATATGTATATCACTTTTTGACTAACATTGTTAATGGAAACACTGAAACAAAATCAATTCCCATTGGTTAACAGTACAATTAAACCACTACGATTTCAAGTGCCCCAGAGCTAGGAATCATCCGCTGCTTCTTTGCTCTTTTCTTCGATTTCGTGTCCTCAGCTTGAGCTTGAAGGAGCTCATGATAGTCGGCTGTGATAAACATGCCGCTCACCGACAACGTCTTTCGCACTGGACCCCTCTTGATGCGTTTGGGAGGTAGGAGTAGTACAGACTTGCGAATAGTGGCAGCACGTTCGAGCCAAGTTTCTTCAACTTGTTCTACACGCTCCGATGGTGGTCGGAACAGAGACAACCGGTACATCATGGCATCCAACGATGGAGGAAACAACCCAGTCGAGGCAAAGCTGTTCACGATGGTAGACGTCTTTGTGGAATTGGCCCACACTTCGCAGGTGATGGAGACTGCCTTCTGCTTGGTGACGTTGCTTCCAATGTTATTCCACATGTCGTCAGCGATTTGAGATCGGATGGCAATCTTAAAGGGGCGGAAAAACGGACACATCCAGCGGCTGGAAGAGGTGGGTCGAATTTGCAGGCAAAACCTGCAGCAGGATGTTCAGACGCTTGGCCTCCTCCACAATGTGGACCGAGTAATGCGATGAGCACCCATCGACAATCAACAAGATGGGACGCGCCACGTCACTGGGCACCGAGTCATTCAGCATGGATAGCCACTTGCGGCAAATGAAGGAATTCGTCCAACCTTTCATCGACGTTGTGACCGCTGCACCGGGAATTGACAGGTTGTCACACACTGTCGTCAACACGCGTACGCCAGGCAACACAAACAGTGGAGGGATCTTGAACCCATCGGCGCTAACACAAGCAACGATAGTGACGTGAGATGACATCGACGGCTCAGTCACGAATACTGCTTTGGACGTCTGATGCGCGACAACCACGCCGGGGGCTTGACTGGGTGAGAAACTTGTCTCATCCATATTGAAAATGCGTCGAGGATCGAAATTGACGCATGACAATGACACAGGCAAGCTGGTGGTAAATGTCCACAACCTTGTCCGGCGTGATGGCACTTCGAGCTGCCGGCAGCGTCTGTGCCTTCTTTCGTTTCAGCTCCGGATGACGCGCCGTGAACCGGTGGTACCAGCCACGCGTTAATGGCTGAGCTGGTGGGAAGCCGTGGATAACCTCAAGAATGGCAGTAGCCTTCTGGGTGATTCGTTTGCGCCCGACGGCATGACCATCTGTTTCCATGCCGAGGATCCAGGTCACCAAGTCGTCCTCGTACGACGTGGGGAGAGATGGAGGTGGCCCCGTGCGCAAGGGTGCCACGGTGGCTTCCATTGCCTTGGATCGATGCACATGAGTATGGAGTGTACGAAGAGGTACTCCATGACGCATTGCAATGTTTGCAACAGTATCCACCCGTTTGAGCACGTCGTCGATGGCTTTTGACATGTCGTCGGCTGAGTGTGCCGTTTTCGGCGCCATGCCAAATTCAAAAGTTGACATACCTCTCATGTTTAATATATTTTCCCTCCTATTAGCTATCACGGGCTCTATTTCATGGAGGATTTTATTTTGGCCAATAAGAGTAACTCTGCATTTCTATTGGCTTACAAAAATGCCGATGACTGGTGTTTCATGCTGATGACCGGTGCCTTACGTTACCTCGGAAGTACCGTCTAGCGTATGACGTGTCGGAGTGTGTCGAACGTCAGATACCTCTAACTTTTAATACCGGTGCCTCTGTCCGAAAGTACACGTCTAGTTTAATACTACGAAGGACAGTACAACTGTATATGGGATTTAAACTTCATCGAGGACCTATTTTTGTCACACACTAAATGACGAAAACCACACCAAGACTAATGAATCAAACACTCATTTGAACGGAAATCACATATTTGGTATTTCAAGTAGGAAATACCTCTACGTGTAATTAAACGCTTATTACATGCGCATCAACCAAGCCTTCAACGTAGCCCCTGTTCTACATTGATTTACCGTGAATTCGAAAATAGGTCTAAATATTTAAATTAGGTTAGTCCCAGTGGTATGGTTTTCGTCATTTATGTTAGTGTGTGACTAAACAGGTTGTCCATGTGGATGAAGTGAAAACAATATGAATATCTACAGTAATGTGATCAGAATAGCGCCTTTCTACTACCTCTGTCCGGAAGTACCGTCCAGCATCGGACGTCAGACACGTCTAACTTTTAATATTATTTGGCCGCTCGCAAAAACGAATTTACATAAGTATACTTGGGATCAAAGATAAACTCTACCAATAAATGTAATACGAGAGGCATGGTTTGACAAACAGCACAGCTATTGTAGGGGACAATGGGGATGCTACACGACCGATACAAACTGTAATATAAATATGAAAAATTCCATGAATACGAAAGGTGAAACGACTGGTAAACACACAATCATGTGAGCTTAATTTAGCATCTCTCGCATTTGGAATTGGCCTTCATTAGAAAAAGTTATGGTGAAAAAACACACGCGCACTCCTGCGGAATAGCTCTTGTGGTCAAATGCCACCAGTACTTCATCCAATGCAAGGAAAGAAACCCAGCGGAACACGACACAATAGAGACATTTAGCAAACCTGTAATTTGATCAAATTCCCGAAATTAACTACGTTCGAATTCACTTCGGGAATTTGATTCGGATATTTGAAGTTACACCTTTAGCAATCACGGAATTTGCAATTTCGATGCCAAAACCATTACTAACAAATTAATCCTCGTTCATTGGCTTCGTAAGAGTTGACGATTAACCAGTCGTAAAGGTGCGTCCGCATGCCGCTCTCCTTGCTGCATGAGACCAAGTATGTACCCAAGATCAACTACCGCAGTGCCCGTGAGCATCACGTCAACATGCTCACGGGCACTGCGGTAGTTGATCTTGGGTACTTGGTCACTAAGGCCACTTGCAACCAACTTCCATCGCTGCAGCAGCTCGCCGTGGTCTGCTGTGAATGGTTCGATTCGTGTCACCTCACGCAGGAGGGCAACCTCCAGGTCTTCCGTCCATGCAACGTACTTGGCTGGTGGTCGAGGTTGTGGGTCAACCATTGGAGTGAATTCGAAGTACATGTATGAACAGTTCATCTAATACGTCCAGCAAGCACAATCCACCACCCATTGCATTTTGATGTATTTTGATTGGCTTAGACATTTCGATTAATTTGAAGCTCAAATATACGGAATGGTCATGCGATTTCGTATATTTGAGCCAAATTCCGAGCGGAATTTGGCCTTCACGAAGTTCGTAGTTTACTCGGATCAAGTCATGGTTATAGACAACACTTTCAGAATAGATCTCGAGCTTTATTATTTACCTGCTTCATCTAAAACGGACTAAAACTGACTTAGATACAGTCGTCAACCTGGTGTATCTTCCCCACTGTCCCCTACAATAGTACTACTACGTACAGTAGTACTAGACTTCATGCAGGAATGGCCCTTTCTATATTGGGGACCAGAGAGGCTACGCATACCGTGTCCAGGTATCGACTTCGTATACCTAATGTATAACCTAGATTAGTTGGACTCTTCCTCCACCTGCCTGGAGGAGCAGTACAGTAGTACAGTATGCTTGGCAGGGGAATTGCTCGTTGTTGAATGGTAGTTGCCGAACGAAGGCATCACCTGGTACAGTCCGCGCCACTAGTATAAGAGCATCCCCACCGGCTGATGTAAACATAGAGCTGAAAAGACCCGTTTATTGGGTGCGTGCTGTAACAGTACTTCACAGCCAATTCACACCGGTTGGCGGAAATAGTAGTCCTGATGGAGCAAATTCGTGTTGGACGCCCGCTGGCGATTGAGGTTTTGGAGCTCTCGCCAGTGGAGAATCTAGTGCAGCACGGTTGGCATACATTCTATTGTCTGTAAGATTCATATTCATGCTGCCGGCGTGCTTCAGGACATCGGGATGGCATGCTTCGTTGAAGAAGTCCATTGGGACCTCAATCGCATAGAACTGTAAATGACCCAACAGATCTGTTGAGAAATCTGTCTTTATGGAGCGTTTACATCATGATGTAAAATTTATTGGCAACCGGTGTGGGTCTGAAAAATGTAAATTTTGCTGATGTAGTGATGTACTTTGAAGATTTTTACATTTCTACATCAGCCGGTGGGGATGCTCTAAGACATCCATCATTTTGCGAATAGGTTTTGAGATAATACGAAATTGTTGACACAGAACATACCAAAGGATCGACCATGATTAGTCGCACATTTTGGTACTGGGCTCAGTTCATAATAGGCAAATTATGTCGCGAAAACCAATTTGGAGGTGCGACAACCGTATAAGAACACCGTTTAATTACGTTTTTATATAAACGTGTGGGTTTAGGCAACGTTTTATATTATAACGCACTCGAAATTCCTTACGGTTTTCGTCACAATGTCGTTTTTATTCCGTGGAGTGCAACCTCGTTGGTCACACGTTGTTTTTTACGTCAAGTATTGCCTTGAGGGCTGCGCAGTGCGGGGTCAAAGATTCTCCATGTAATGGCGATCATAGCCACCTGCGATATTCGTATCCGCATTCAAAAGAGGGGTGACGTCAGGTAAGGAGGGTTGGAATTCTCGTTGTCGTCGCCTGTCGAAGGCTTTTGAATGGCGGTGCCCAATTTGAACACCTCGATTACGACCCACACTGCACGGTCCTCTTATTCGACGACAAAGTAGTTAGGTCTGCTTCTACTACATGTATAATACTGTTCATGCTCCTAATCTCGCGCTTCATGCTCCCTACGACACCTGATTTCGTCACTTGCGACCAAGCCTATTCGACTTCATCTTCGACGTAATTCACGTGGGTGTTGATGAAGTGCATGGTCGATTTCTCGACGTAATTACAGAAATAGCACTATGAAACTCGTTTACCTGGGGGTAAAAGGGGGTTATATGATGCTTTAGCAATAACGTTAGGTTAGAATTTACTGTTGGAGATGCTCAACAACGCCACTCAAACCCCTCCTACCACCCTCCATCGATCCGTTGTCGCATCGGTTCTTAAATCCAGGTAATCGACCCAGATTCACCCTGTTTATGAGGTTATATAAATCACAAATATATCACCAATACCTGGCTTTAATGACACAAATAAGTCACTAGGTATCATATCACACCAACTATTTCCCCAAACCTGACCCCTAACCCCTTTATCCCCGCTCATAAAAACCACCCCATGTGTTTCCCAAAAAAACTGACCCTAACAGTAAACCCCTTTTATACCGGAATACCACGTTTTATCCAGGGTCAAACTGCGTTTTTACGGTTGCTATTATGGCACTATCCGGACTTTTTAGACATTATGACCCCATAATTTCTATTTTCGCGTGAGTGCAAGAATTCCGAAACTTCGAATTGAAATAGAAATAAAAACACCATTGGAGATGCTCTTAGGCCGTGTTCGGAGGCACAAGAGTGGATTCTTGAGGATTTTCGAGTCCTGCTCACACTCTCTTTACCACACATTGTCATATGTTAGGGTGCGTCTGGTAACATTTCAAAAATAATATTCCATTTTCTCGCAGAATGGGATTATTCAAAATGCCATTTTCAAAATGGAGGTAAAAGGTCAACTTTGTAATACAGTATGGCGTTTTGGACCTCTTCAACGAGTAAATCCTACTGGGAATTATTGGATTTGGGTTAAAACTCTTCAAGCAAGACATGTTTCAATATTGATCAGATTTGTTGAATTTTGAATTCGGCCCTATTGCAATAATTCCGGTTACCGGAAAAACCCATCGAAGTTGAACTTGAGTTTTACACTGGGAACAACAGAGAATCTGGACCGCCTGTCGAGTCGAAGGTACGGGTTCGAGTCCCTGAGACGACATCACTTTTTTCCAGTCTGCGATTACGTCGAAGAATTGTACGTTTCAGCTCACAGTAATTAACACCCCACATGAATTACGTCGAGCTTTACGTCGAGTGGACAACCTCCACTTGCGGCTTGGGTTCGCGGTTGACAATTGGTGACTGGCGCTGTGTTCTCGTACTTGTAATAGTATTGTGCTTTCAAGCTAAATTTGGTATTTTCGGTAGATTCGTCAAATCCACCTCAAATCGTCGAGACGTCACTTTACTTGAACTAATTATGCTCACTGTCTGTCCAATGCAATGTTGTACTCTTTGTGAAATGGAGAAGCTTGGCAGTACACCCACCTGCAACTTGATTGGTCGAAAGGTCTTTCGATTGGCAGCCCCAGTCCATTTTGAAATCTAATTATCAATATTTGCATGCCATGGAATGGGATGATTGGGTATTTTCATCGTTACATGCCAACTTCAAGTTGTTTTTGGTTTTCGTAATTTTTTTCCAACTTATATACGAATTTGTAGCAAACATAAAATTTCTCTATTCATTTGTGAATTGACGAAATCGTAGGGAGCTGGTCCTACGTTTTTCATATCCAATGAAATCTCAAGAAAATCACAAATTGCTGGACTCCAATTGACCAATTCTATATCGTACAGGTCAAAAATCAAAGGTGAAGGTGAGGCGTCCTGGTGGCAATGTCATAGATGGTACGCAAGCTGTACTGCGTTGTACTAGTACCGTAGTAGTAAGGAGCGACCGTTTTGGAAGAGTTCAAGTGATCTATTGTGTTGACAGTCGAGCTGGACGCGTTTGCGAATCAAGACATTTTGGACATTCTTGTATGGGCAAGAAGCACACCAGACTCGTAGGATATCTCTGTTACGAAGCAAGTATTGAACTTATTACGGGTCAAGTTGTCGACAGCGGCCTGTCTTCATTTCTCCACGTTTTCCTCTGTTCTACAACAATTCAAGTGCACGCAAATGCATATATTCTACCCTAGGAGTATCGTTAATATCACGTGGTTGGATTGTTGACCTTTTGAGGACCTTGACGTATGTACTACTAGTACTAGGATGGCGTTGCATTACTCCATTCACGTTAGAGTCGTCCGACGATAGGTGACGCCTTACGGTATAAGTCTGATTTATACGGATAACCCTTAGATAGGACCAATTTTGGACTTATACTCCCACCCGTTGGTTTTATGGGGGTCTCAATAAGTCCAAACATAAGTTCGGCCCCGAAAAGCCCTATCATAGGACTTTTTCGTCAAGATATCACCCTCTAAACCTGTGCTATCCGGAAGAGTAATATAATCAAAATTAATATACTAAAGCACTTCTCAACATACTTAAATGCAATACAGCATGCAATCTTTATAATAATTCCCATTCAATTTACACTGTTGGCCAACGAAGTCAGACCTTGCCACAGCAGTCCGTCCAGCGTCCAGATCATGATGGAGTGGATGCCAGCGGCGTGTGGCTGGCCGAGGCGGTCGCTTCACCCACAGGCGATGCAGAAACCGGTTGACAGCATGTGTCAAGGTCGAAGCATACGACGCGGTGACTCTGGCGGACGCGGTGGGTCGTGGAGGTGAACCGGTTTGCAGGCATACAGGGCGGTCGCTATGATGCTGGTGGGTATACTAGTAGACTTGGTGGTAGGTAGAGGCATGGAAGCGGACCAACTTGGATCGCTTTGCGGCAGCACTCCACCTTCCGACAACGGCCTTGCATAGTTTGTGTATCGTTTGCGGCAGCGCCCGAGCTTCCGGTGGTGGCACAGAAGACTACGCGGCGTCGCCGACGATGATACGTTCGGGGGAAATCCGCGCTCGATATGCGGAGTAGTGCGCAGGCGCGGAAGGCGTATGGTTCCTATGATGCAGCGAGCTATGATGAAACTGGTGACGTTCATGATGAAACTGGCTACGTTTTCTCTTCGTACGCCAGTATGTGGCATCACAACGATGTTGGCAGCACGCTTAATCTCTTTACTGTGATGAAGCTCCACGTAGCAGCAGAGAATGCGAAAGCACGCGACTTTCGCGTCATCGTAGGCTCGTATTACTTCCAGCACACACCCTCTACGCTGTAAATGTTAACGAGTTCGGTCCAGGGAAGTGGTTGATTGATGTATTGTCGATTTTCTTCAAATTTCCCAATTTTGCATGGTTCGTTCAATCGAGCACAAATAGAGCCGAGACATCTGATTGGCCATTATCCACTTCGCCCTTTCCAGTAGAAACTCGAAAATGGATTGTAGCCAAT